GGCGTCTCACCCTGTGGCCCCGGCTAGAGTGCAGTGGTGTGATCTCAGCTCACTGCAACCTCCGCCTCCCGGATTCAAGCACTTCTCCTGCCTCAGCCTCCTGAGTAGCTGGGACTACAGGCGTGTGCCACCATACCCAGCTAATTTTTGTATTTTTAGCAGAGACGAGGTTTCACCATGTTGGCCAGGATGGTCTTGATCTCTTGACCTCGTGATCTGCTCGCCTCGGCCTCCCAAAGTGGTGTGATTACAAGCGTGAGCCACCGTGCTCAGCAAGGGAGGCTTTCTTTTTTGTTGTTGTTTTGTTTTTGAGACAGAGTCTCGCTCTGTCTCCCAGGCTGGAGTGCAGTAGTGCAATCCTGGCTCACTGCAAGCTCCGCCTCCCGGGTCACGCCATTCTCCTGCCTCAGCCTCCTGAGTAGCTGGGACTACAGCCGCCCGCCACCACACCCAGCCAATTTTGTTTTTGTATTTTTAATACAGATGGGGTTTCACCGTGTCAGCCAGGATGGTCTCGAACTCCTGACCTCGTGATCCGCCCACCTCGGCCTCCCGAAGTGTTGGGATTACAGGCGTGTAAGAAAGGCCGCAAGGGAGCCTTTCTTAATGGCGCCAGCGAAAGTCCCAGGGACAATGCCCATTGGACTAACTTGGGTCATGTGTCTGTCTCTGAAGTAGTCACTGGGTCTGACCCTTCCTGGCTTGGATGACATACTCCGGTTTAGAGCTGAAAGTGGAAAATCTGCCAGAAAATGGGATGTGGAGCAGGCCTGGCAGGGATGTCCACGGCACTTCCTCCCCTCATGCCCAGGGCCCTGCCCCTGACTCCATTCCCAGACCTCAGAGCTGGAGCATCTGGAACTTCTGACCAGACTCCAGCCCACTTCACCCCTGCATGCAGAAATAGGGGTGCTACAAGGGGAAGTGGGGAGAGTATGTGAGGTGCTGAAATGACCTGGGACAGACCTGGGTTCCCATTCAGACTTTGCCACTCACCAGCTATGTGTCTCCGGGCAAGTCACTGACTCTCTCTGGGCCTCGGTTTTCCCACCTGTAAAATAATAATAATAATAATAATAACAATCAACACATTGACAGCACCTACTATGTACTGTTCCCATTTTAATCACTTTCTAGATACTTTTTGAAAATCCTCAAACTGACCCTAGGAGGTAGGTACCATCACTGTCATCCCCAGATTCTAGCTGAAGATGAGTGATTCAAGATAGGTCAGGCAGCAAGCTGAAGGTCACACCATTAGCAACAGACTCCTCAGGAGCAGCGCTAATGTGAATGGGCGTGGCTGGCCCAGTGCCAGGGGCAGATACCTGGGAAGAGCCATGAGCTTTGTGATGCTCAAGGGGCAATCTGAATGTGTGCTTGGTGGGATCTTGCAGAGGTTGGAAGAGGCCAGAGAAGACGCCACCAGCTCTTGCTGAAAAAGTCTTGCAGCCTCTCCTCAGCCCTAAAACCTTCCCTGAGAGGTGTGGGGGAGCACAGAACAGGAAGGTGGGGGTGGAGGGAGGAGGGCGGGGCTATGAGGAGGAAGGGAGGGGGTTCTCCTTTCTAAGCCTCCATCCAGGCCCATTTTATTCTCACAACAGGTTATCAAAAGGAAACTCAGAGAGGGGAAGTGTTTCAGCCAAGGTCACACAGCAAAGGCCCAGTTTCTGGATCTCAGTCCTCCCTTGTCTCGTCTTTTCCACTCTGGGGATCCAGAAGTCATTGAAGTCATTGGCCCAGCCTCCCAGTGTGTGTGTGGGGAGCTCATGCTCTGGGGGTGGGAGAGACCGACCTGTCAGCGACTTGAAGGGTGATCAGTTTGGGGGTGGCAGACACGAAGTCCTGGTGGGAGGAACCCACCAGCCGCCCACCCACCAAGGCTGAGTGTGTGGGCTTCAGGGGCAATGGCAGCTGAAAGGAGGCAGGTTCTCAGAGAACAGTGACCAGTGGCCACCCACGCCCCCAGTCAGGGCAACTGAGAACTATGGGTCCACTGAATTTGGCAAGTCAGGGGTCACTGGTGACCTTGGCCAGAGCAGTGCCAGAGAAAATGCAGGGAGGAGGAGACAGAGGACAGATGTGTCTGCATCCTATAGAAATGAGGGGATGGAGATAACATGGAAGGGTGATGGGTGCGGAGACCAGAGGAGTGGGCTCTGGGGCATGCCAGCAGGGAACACCCTTGCTTCCCTGAAAATAGGGAAAACTGAGTGCAGGGTGTATGGAAACTCTCTATACTATCTTTGTAACTTTTCTGTAAATCTAACACTGTTCTAAAATAGAAAGTTTATTTAAAAATGTTGATGGCAAGAGGTGAGAGTGGGCGTGGCTGGAGAGTTTGTAGGTGGCTGGTGGGGAGGCAGGAATTTGAGGAAGGAAGAGCTTAGATGCATTTAGGGCTTCTGTTTTTTGGATGCAAAATTGAGTGTGCAGGAGGCTGGGGGGTGGGGGGACGGGCGGGGGGTTGGTGAGGAGCTGTGAGCTAGGACAAGTCAAAGGAAGTTGGAAGAGGCTGAGGCCACAGATGCTCATGGCCAGCCATCTGTCTGCCCCTCCCCGGCTCCCTCCTCCCCAGAATTCTGCTCTCATGCCTCAGGGTGGGGGATGGCTGAAGCCCTGTCCCCCATGACTCTCCCCACTTCCCTTTCCCACCTTGTGTCACCCACTCCCTTAGGGATCCCCACTGCATGCCAACCACACCTACTGGCCAGTTGGTCCAGGGCACAGGGCCTGGGTCTCTCCCTGCCTGGGCCTCACTCTAGTAGGGGCCATGGAGAAACTGCCACGGCCAGTGGTCCCTACATATAGTGGGCACTGACTTCCCAAGGCAGGGCCTGTGAACATTTTGAGTTTTAAGAGGGTTCTCCCAACTCCAGAGCACCAGGAACCGCTGCCACATAGGCAGCACTGCTCTCCTTCTCTTGGCATAGCCAGTTACCCAATGCAGAACTCGGAGGCCCGGCTAGAACCACCTCCTCCTCCTCCGTGGTGCGGATGGGACCAGGTGAAGTTTGCTCAGGGAGGTCCAGGTTGGAGACTTTGCTGTGGTCCACTGAGCACTGTGGACGGTTTCAGGGTCCTCACCCAGCAAGGAACGGAGTTCTGGGAGGCCCTGGCATGGCGTCCACTCCCTTGCAGGGGACTTTTCTGAGGCCCCCTCCCCTTCTGTGCTTAGAGTTTTAGGAGATAAAGGTGCCAAGAGGCTGGCCCTGAGCGTCCTTGGAGGAGCTCTGCCCTGGGAGTCTGGGGTTAGATGCTGCTTCCGGGACTCTACTTGGGACTCCTCTGGGATGCCTGAGGCTTGGGAGAGAACGCAAAGGACTTCCTAGCTAGCCCCATCTCAGAGGGCACAGGCTTGGAGGGGAGGAGAGGCCTGGAATGGAGGGATAATGAGCCGGGTAGCGGCTGAGAATGGCCTGGAATAACTGGTCATGGAGCCGAGATGGGGGACTGTGGTTGGGAATTGGGAACTGGGATCAGGATGAGACTGGGATGGGCTGGACTGAAGAGGTTGCCGTGAGAAATGTTGCCGGGGGGGGGAAAGTGCTAAGCATGGGGCTGAAGCTGGGATGGGAAAGGAACTGGGTTGGATTTGAGGGTGGGATGCAGATGGCAGTGGATATGATGGGATAGACTAGGCATGGACCTCTCAGAGAAGGAGACGGGCCAGGGGTGGGCTGGTGTGTGACCTGGCTTGGGATGAAAATGGGTTTAACATGGAGTGGGACGCACCAGGAATGGAGATCAATGAAGCAATGGGTGGGGCGGGACCGGATTGGGACGGGGGGTGGGCGGGGGGAGGTGGGGACGGGGCTGGGTTCGGGGCTGGAAGGAGGGCTAGCGCCGAGGTTACGGACGGGGCAGGTGAGGGTTCGGGACGTGGGTGGGGCTGGCCCCGGAGCGGAGCGCAGGGGCGGCGGGTGAGGGGCGCGGGGGCGCCCGGGGCAGGCCGGGAAGGGGGGGCGGGCCTCCCCCTGGGCCGGGCCGGGGCGGCGCTAGGACCGAGCGAGCGGAGGGAGCGAGCCGGGCGGAGCCAGCGCCCCCCGCCCCCCGCCGGCCGGCTCCCCTCCCCCGGCCGCTGGCTCGCTCGGCTCGCGACGCTGCAGAGGCTCCGAGGCGGCGGCGGCGACTCCCTCTTTCCCTCCCTCCTCCTCCGTCCGCCCGTCCGTCCGCGCGTCTGTCCGTTCGGCCCGGTCCGGCCCGAAGCATGGCCGGCGTCAGCTTCAGCGGCCACCGCCTGGAGCTGCTGGCGGCGTACGAGGAGGTGATCCGAGAGGAGAGCGCGGCCGACTGGTGAGCCCCCCGCCCCCGCCCCCGGCCCCTTTGTCCCCGCGCCGCCGCCGCGCCTTTGTTTCTCTCCCGCCCCGCCGCCCCGCCGCCGGGAAGGGAGGGGGACCCCGAAATGGTGCAGCGGGCCGGGAGGGCCGGGAGGGGCTGCCTTTGTGCGCGCCGGGGGAGGGGCCGGCGGGCCAGGCGGGGCACTGCCGGGCCCCAAGTGCCCGGAGGCGGCCCCAGGCGCGCGGTGGGAGCGGCGGCCGGACGCGGCCCGGAGGCGCGGGGTCCCGATGTGGGGCCCAGGGCCGCGTGGCCCTGCGGGAGCCCATCCCCCACCCTACCCCCGGGCCCGGGGGACAGGTGTGCACGGGGCGGCCAAGGGCACCTTCGCCACCTTCGAGCGGGCGAGGTCCGGGCGGGGACGGGGCGGGGACCGAGCTAGCGGAGCCAGCGCAGCCTGCCTGGTTCATCCCGGCCCGGCCACAGCACAAAGGAAAGCGAGGGCGGGGGAGGAGCGGAGCGGGCTGGGGGCCGGGCGCCCCGCCCACCGGGGGCCTCTCGGAGTGGGCCGCCCTCCCCCCGGAAACCTGGGCTGGAGTGAGGTGGAAGGATGTTTGCTGCCACATGGCGACCGCGAAGTGACTCCCTTACCGCCGCGGGTCGCGGAGGAGGCAGGGGTGAGCTCTCCTCCCCTACCTGAAGGGGACTGCGGGGACTAGGCAGCTGGCTGGGGGGCACTGAGCTGCCTGTCTAGGGCGCCAGCTGAGGTCCCTGGGAGGAAGTCCTCTGGAGAACAAGTGTGGAGGGAGCCCCCAAAGAGGGCTGAAGGGGTGAACAGATCCACGGGCCCCTACCAAGGGGCCCTCGGTCCCTGATGGGGGAGGAGCTGGGCCGCCCCTCTCCCCGCCCCCCAACTGCTGTCTCCCCCTGAGCTGGGGGAGGGGATGGACCACCTGCTCTGGGGCTGGCGGCGGAAAGAAGAAACCGAGGGGTTCCTCACTGCCCCATCCTGGAATCCTCTTCCTCCCCGCCCCACCCCGTAATACTCTTGGGGAAGGTGCCCATCTGGTTCCTAGGCCGCCTCTCCCCGCTGGCAGATGGGAACAGGCTCTTCTTGAGGAAACTGAGGCAAAGAGGAGGGCGGGTCTGAAGGACCCCGCTTGGGCTGGCCTCACCCACACACTGGGCGGGCAGTCAGGTGGAGACTCTGACCTGGGGGCTCCTGGAGGAGAGGATGAGATGGCTGGGCATCCATGGCATGGTACTGCAGCACTGGCCAGCAGCCAGGCCTGGAGGGATGGACGCGAGAGAGACAAGCTCTCGTGTCCTGCAGGTCAGTCACAGGAGAGGCCAGCACAGACTCAGCAGGCAGGCGGCCCACCCATTGTCCCAGCCCTGCCCCGGGGGGGGCTGAGATCATGGGAGGAGCTCTGGGCAAGTGGCCGGCTTGGCCTGGTGTAGGAGCTGGCTTCGGGGTAAGGCCCCGCCTGGGGAGAGGCACAGCTGACCCCAGAACACCTCCTTCGCCCTCCAGTCTGGAGGGGTGTTGTCTACCACCACCCCATTTTCTCCTAAAAGCAGAGCCCTGGTGGCCTATTGCCAGGGCCACAGAACCCCTGTTGCTCAACATCCTGCTCAACAGAGGCCTGCCCCTCCCCGCCCCAGCAGCATCCATGTGGCCAAAGCGAGTTATTCATCACTGGTGTGCGTCACCCCCCATCTGGGTTGTGTGTGGGACACACAGATGCAGACATGCACATATTTGTTCACTACGGGCCCAGATCACATTTTGAAAAAGGGGTGTGAGGATCACTTTCTGCACAAGAGGATATGAATACCCCAGTGCCCAGCATGGAACCAGGGGTGCAGTGAGGTCTGAAGACTCAGAGGCAGACGCTGCACGTAGGTCCAGAGGGAGGGGTGTCTTGGCTGTCTGCCCCCGCTTACCTTGCTTCCAATGGGGAGGGGTGGTTGGGGGGGAGTTCACTTCTAGGTGGCAGGGCCTCTGAAGTGGACCACTACTCTGGCACAGGGAGCAGGGGACCCAGGAAATGAGGTTGTATAGTGGGAGGGGCCGCTGTTGTCCCGGTTGTGATATGACTCACTGTGATCATATACAAGTTCCTGGTCCTCTTGGAAAGAAAAAGGATTGGGCCCAGCCCTACCTCAGATACTGAAGGCCTTTCTAGCACCACCATCCTGAGAGTGATGGTCCTGAGGGGTCCACCTGCCCTCACCCCCCCACCCCAGCTCACCCGAGGGTCTCTGGAACTGCCACATTCCAGCTCCCATCTCACACTAGTTCAGTATCTCTGGCTAGATGGCTTCTAAGTTGGTGTCAATATCACACATGCTTATGGTGCGCGGTGTGCTGGACCCCAGGACCCAGAGAGCAGGATGTGCTGATTGACTGAGTCAGCGTTCCTGCCTTCAGGAGGCTTACAGTTGGGGGCAGTGTCTGTCTCTAGGAGTTGGAGCTGGTAAGATATGTAGGGGTCCTCTACCCCATCCTGATTCCCTGTGGTTTCACCAGCTTCCACCTGGTGCAGCACCAGGCTCGGGATGCCTGATGTGTTTGAGAAGCACTGGTCTTTGTATTCCTGCTGGGATGTGGTGGGTGCTCTGGGAGGGGCAGCTCAGGGGAGGCTGCTGGGGGCCAGCAGCCAGCACTGGGCTCTGAAGAACGGAAGGATTCCACTGGGAATAAGCGTGGGGTAGAGGAGCAGGTCTTGCCTTCCATGTGAAGAGAACAACATAGGCAGAGGCTCCAGGGTGAGCCCTGTCCAGAACCCTGCCTGAGTCAGGGAGCCGTCCAGTGTGGCCCAAGTGTGTGGTGTGGACAGGGCAGTCTGATGGAAAGGCAGGCTGGAGGGTTTGAACTGGGGTATGGTTTCTGCTGGAGAAGGGCTGTCGCTGGAGCAGGAAAAGGTGGCCGGAGGTGGGTAGGCAGGGGCTGAGGATGGAAGGCGCCCCAGGGAGCCTGGGCAGGCCAAGACAGGTCCTCTCAGGGACGCTTGATGTCTAGAGCAGTCTCTAGGAACTAGGGTCCCTGGGCTCTGCCTCAGTTTCTCATCTGTGCATGGAGAGGGACAGAGCCTGCTTCTCTCAGGGCCCTTTGTTCCCGTGGTGGGTTAGGGCAGCAGAACAGGTGGTGGGCCAGCTGTGCTGGGAGCAGCTGTCAGGGTCAGGCCGGAGCTGGGGGTAACAGTTGGACCAGGAACTCCCAGCCCCCCAGCCCACCTGTGTTCCTTCCTGGAGGTAGGAAGTGGGGAATTCAGGAAGGGGAGGGGCTGGGGCCATTTGGCCCTGGCCACAACCTCTTAAGATGTCCCCTCCGTCCCTCCCGCCTTCATTTCCTTTGTCCCTTCACTTCTGTCCTTTCTCTTTTTCCCCTTCTCCCTGTTTCTCCCTCTGCTTCTCCCCTCCTCTTTCTCTTCCCCCCTGCCCTCCCTTACTGCCTCCCCTCCTCACAGCCCCAGCCTCCTGCCTTGGCACGTGGGAATAGGAGTTTGGAGAAGGGGTTGAGCCCTTTCAAACCTCAGGGACAAGGCCCTTCCTCCTAGGCCCGGCTCTCCTCCCTCCCAGAAGGTCCTCAGCCTGGGCCTGCATGGGGTGATGGGGGAGGCATCTCTGCATTCCCTTCCGTGAAATGGATGCTCTGTCACCACAGCCTATCAGAAGGAGCCAGGGCACACAAAGCTGGGGAGGAGGAGGAGGAGGAAGGCCGCCAGGTCAGCTTTCTGTTGAAGCTCAGGCGGAAGGAAAGGCCAGCAGTCTCAGGAGGCCTCAGCCAGGGCTGAGGCAGCCTAGGGGCTGGAAGGCCTGAAGCTCACGCATGGCCACCCTGGGGCCAGAGTCTGGGCGAAAGTGACTGCAGTGACCTCATCCCCATTTCAGAGAGGCGGAGATTGAGGCTGAGGGCGGGTCCCCAGGGTCCTTTGTGTTCAAGGAGAATGCAGTTGGGGTGGGCCAGTCGTGTGCCAATTGCAGGGTTGCCATGGTTACCGGGGGATGCCCAGAGCTGTAGGAGCACCAGGTTCTCTCTTCTCCTCCTCCCTCCCCGGGGGAGGGGCAGCGGGGACCAAGGCACGTGCCAGGTAAGTTCCTGGCACTAGCCAATGGGGGATGAGGATTGTGGTAGCCAGGGAACAGTAACCAAGGAACCGTCGCCTTGGAATCTCCATCACACACCCGCTCCACTGGGTTGTAGGCTGCCAGGGCCAGGGCCGGGATGCTGCGCACTGAGCTCGACCAGCCAGCAATTTCTCCCCTCACTGCCTGTGCCCCGCCTGACCCCGGCCTCCAGCGGCACCCTGCTGGGCTCCCGCCTGAACCAATGCCTGGCCCTGTTGTCATGGCTACAGCAGGAGCCCTCCCTGTTCCTGTCCTACCCCCTCCATGTCCCCTATCCCTCCCCAGAGCCGTCCCCACCCAGAATTGGCGGCCTGGGCCCTGACAGTTTGACAGCCACCCCTCCCTCTCCCCAGGGCTCTGTACACATACGAGGATGGCTCGGATGACCTCAAGCTTGCAGCATCAGGAGGTAGGAATTCCAGCCATTCCTTCGCCTTCCTCTCCACCCCCTCCTCTCCACCCCCTCCTCTCCACCCCCTCCTGCGGTTGTTTTCTTCCCCACCCACCTGACTGTAGGCCACCTCCCCGCCTGCACCCTGCAGCCCCACACTTGCCTGGATTTGGCTAGTGTCCTTCCTCCAGTCATCCCTGTGTCCCCAGGGTGGGGAGGAAGCTGTGAGTCTTGTTGAATGTTGGACTTATGAGGCTGAGCCTCCAACAGGGAAAGTGACTTGCCTAAAGCCACACAGCTGGGACGCTTTGGGGGAAGGGCCCTATTCACCGCCTTCCCCAGAGCCAGAAGGCTTGATTGTGCCTCTGGGCACTGGCACCTGGTGAGACATGATGATGTGTGAAGAATGAGACCTGAGTGTGAAGAACAAACACTTCCTCAGTCCTACCCCAAATCAGGGCCTGCAGGAGTCATAGGCAAAGCCGCATCCCTGTGCACTGCCGCCCCCACACATACCAACACCAAACTGGGGCCCCCACATCCCAGAGGCCAGAAGACCCCTGGGGGGCCTGCGGAGCTCTGGAGGAGCCTTTCCTTTGAGTTCCAGGCTCTTTCTGGGAAGGGTTTAGGAGGCAGAGAAACCTGACACTCTCCTGGTTACCCCAGAAGGGGGCTTGCAGGAGCTTTCGGGACACTTTGAGAACCAGAAGGTGATGTACGGCTTCTGCAGTGTCAAGGACTCCCAAGCTGCTCTGCCAAAATACGTGCTCATCAACTGGGTATGCGGCCGGGGCTGGGGAAGGGAGCTGAAGGCCCAGAGCAGGCGCCCTTCCCGTCGGCCCGCTGACACCCGTGGAGAGGGAACCCCACCAGTTCCGGGGAAGATGCACCCTATCATGTAGGGCCCCCCTTGTCCTTTCCCGACCGCCTCTTTGCTGGGTACTTTGCAGGTGGGTGAAGATGTGCCTGATGCCCGCAAGTGCGCTTGTGCCAGCCATGTGGCTAAGGTGGCTGAGTTCTTCCAGGTGTGTGTCGGGGGCCAGGGCTCTTAGGGATGGGGACAGCCACCAGGGTCTGTGTGCTGGGGTGGTGATGGCGGGAGGATGCTGCCACCTGAGCACTGCCATCTTCTTGTGGAAGGGCGTCGACGTGATCGTGAACGCCAGCAGCGTGGAAGACATAGACGCGGGTGCCATCGGGCAGCGGCTCTCCAACGGGCTAGCGCGGCTCTCCAGCCCCGTGCTGCACCGGCTGCGGCTGCGAGAGGATGAGAACGCAGAGCCCGTGGTTAGTGTGTGTTTGGCACCCGTGGGCTCTGCCTGCGTGGCCTGGTGCTCGAGTCTGGCCTGCCCGGTCCCTCTTAGCCCTCACCCTTTAGGTGTGGGGGGCTCCTGGGGCATTCAGCCTGCCCATGCTGGGTCCTTCGACACCGCAGGGCACCACCTACCAGAAGACAGATGCAGCTGTGGAAATGAAGCGGATTAACCGAGAGCAGTTCTGGGAGCAGGCCAAGGTATGGAACCCTGAGCCTGGCCTGGCTGAGCCGCCCCTCGTGGACCCCATGGGGCAGGTCTGAGTCCCTCACTGCAGTGGCATGGCCCATGCCACGTGCCCCACCCCCAGCCCTGGGTTAGGGAGGGGCCGGAGGGACAGGGTTCAGGCGCCCAGGCTCAGGGCCTACCCTTGCGCGCACCGGGGCTCGCAGAAGGAAGAAGAGCTGCGGAAGGAGGAGGAGAGGAAGAAGGCCCTGGATGAGAGGCTCAGGTTTGAGCAGGAGCGGATGGAGCAGGAGCGGCAGGAGCAAGAGGAGCGCGAGCGGCGCTACCGGGAGCGGGAGCAGCAGATCGAGGAGCACAGGTGAGCCCGCCCGCCCGGCAGCGCTCCAGGGGCCCCCGGGCGCACCCTGACGGGTGCCGGCTGCTTATCGTTCCAGGAGGAAACAGCAGACTTTAGAAGCGGAAGAGGCCAAGAGGCGGTTGAAGGAGCAGTCTATCTTTGTAAGTTGTTGGCCAAGGCTCCCGGTCTCTGGGTCAGGGAAGTGAGAATGGTCCCTGTGCTCCTGGGCCTTGTGGGGAGATCAGTGGCTGGGAGACAGTGGTGGCTGTTCTGGGGACCTGCATGGGCATGGGGTGCCATGGAGCATCAGGCCTGGCACCTCATCACGTGGGGCTCTGGCCTCTGGCTGTGGAAAAAGACTACTTTGGAGAAGCTTGTGCTCTAGATTGGAAGAGAAAATCCATCTAGACCCAGACCCTCACTGACCAGGCTCCCCCTCCCCTCCCCCGGGGTCTCTTGGCAGATTAGACACTGTTCCTGCACTCTGAGGGGCCACCAGGCCTGGTCCCGCCACGGGAGTGAGGCAGGCGGCATGGGGGAGCCTGGGCCAGTGCCGAGCATCCGTAGCCAGTGTGCTGCGTCTCCTTGGGAGCAGCCTCTTTGTTCCAGGGGTCCCGTCTGAATCTCCAGACATTGGGAATTGCGCGTAGGTCCTGTGGATTGGTCCCTGAAACTTACAGCAGAGTCACATCTTCATGCTTTGAATTTAGTGTTTTGGAAATAGCTGATGTCATTCAGGACTGAGCGTGGCTCAGTTCAGGAAGGGAGGTGGGTTCATACTCATCTGGACTGGGACTGTGATGGGCAGGTGCAGGGCTGTGGGGACTGAAATGGGCTCCAGAGTCACCCACAGGAGGCTGGGAGAGAGGAGGCAAGACAGTCCTGCAGGCACCAGCATTAAGTCACTCCAGTCACATCGGCCCTTGGATGGGATGGGGACGATGTGTGGCTGGCTGGTAAGCTCCAGTGTCATTCATTCAACACACACTTGCCACCTGCCACATACAGAACATGGTGGAGAACAAGCTGGGTAAGATCTTATTTTCATAAGCTGATTCATGTTTTGTTTTGTTTTTTTGTTTTGTTTTTTGTTTTTGAGATGGACTCTCACTCTGTCACCCAGGATGGAGTGCAGTGGCATGATCTTGGCTCACTGCAACCTCCGCCTCCCGGGTTCAAGCTATTCTCCTCCCTCAGCCTCCTGAGTAGCTGGGATTACAGGTGCACACCATCATGCCCAGCTAATTTTTGTATTTTTAGTAGAGACAGGGTTTCACCATGTTGGCCAGGCTGGTCTTGAACTCCTGACCTTAGTTGATCTGCCTGCCTCGGCCTCCCAAAATGCTGGGATTACAGGCGTCAGCCACTGCGCCCGGCCACATGTATTTGCTTTAATTGTGGCAAAATACATAAAATGTACTATTTCAGTCATTTTAAAATCTGCATTTCATTAAGTGGCATTAAATTCATTCACATTGTTGGATAACCACCACCACTGTTCATTAAACACAAATTCTGCCCTTCCCCACTGGCCAGCTCCTGGCAGCCACCATTCCACTTTCTGTCTCTATGAAGTTGACTACTCTGGAGACCGCCTATCAGTGGAATCACACAGTGTTTGTCCTTGTGCGTGTGGCTTATTTCACTTAGCATGATGTCCTTAAGGTTCATCCATGTTGTAGCATGCGTCAGAATTTCCTTCCTTTTGAAGGCTGAATCGTATTCTATTGTATGGATATACCACATTTTCTTTATCCTTTCAGAGTGAGGGTTATATATTTATTTATTTTTTGAGATGGAGTCTCGCTCTATTGCCCAGGCTGGAGTGTAGTGGTGCGATCTCAGCTCACTGCAAGCTCCGCCTCCCAGGTTCACGCCATTCTCCTGCCTCAGCCTCCAAGTAGCTGGGACTACAGTTGCCTGCCACCATGCCTGGCTAATTTTTTTGTATTTTTAGTAGAGACGGGGTTTCACTGTGTTAGCCAGGGTGGTCTCGATCTCCTGACCTCGTGACCCACCCACCTCAGCCACCTAAAGTGCTGGGATTACAGGCATGAGCCACTGCGCCTGGCCTGCCTCCCAGGTTTAAGTGATTTTCCTGCCTCAGCCTCCCAAGTAGCTGGGATTACAGGCACCCACCACCACGCCCAGCTAATTTTTGTATTTTTAGTAGAAATGGGGTTTCACCTTGTTGGCCAGGCTGATCTCGAACTCCTGACCTCAGGTGATCCACCTCGGCCTCACAAAGTGCTGGGATTACAGGCATGAGCCACTGCACCCAGCGGATAAAGTTTATTCCTTTTTTTTTTTTTTTTTGGTTGCAGTGAGCTGAGATGGCGCCCATGTTGCACTCCTGCCTGGGGGGATCAAGCGTGGGACTTTCATCCCAAAATTAAATAAATCAATAAAAATAATTTTAAAAAACTAAATAAAGCTTTATCGGGCGGGTCACAGTGGCTCACGCCCTGTAATTTCAGTCTTCCGGGAGGC